TTCCTGATTTAATTTTTAAATGAGCACTTTGTTATATAAGGTCATGGTTAAAAATGGAGCAATCAAATACTGTAAAGGGGTTAATTATTCACTGGGTTTTAATTTTGCTTATTTTGCTAGACTAGAAAATGTGCTAAATTAAAACCCAGTGAATATGTAAAATTTAGCATTGAACACATTATCTAAATGATAAAACTGTGAATTTTAAAACCCACAGAATATGTCTGAATTGGTAAATCAGCAAAATTTAAACCCAGTGAAAATTAGTCGTTTTATAGTTATTACTGATACGTATTAGGTAATTGTTGACGTCGTCTTCTAGAATTCTGGAAACGTACCTGATTTGGCAACTGGCCAAATGCTTGGAACAATGGAATAATACTAGACTTAATTATTTGAGTATGATAACATCCTTTCTTCCAAAATTCTCTATAGATTTCACACCACACCACAATTTTCATTTTACAAGTCACATACTTGCTCATACTAATGACATTTTCTTTATTTTGAAAACAACGTTTTGCAAGGAATGGAATTAATGCCTGTATTTCAAACTGTTTCATTGATACCAGAATATCAAAGTTATAGTTTCTAATTTAGTGAAAACCAACTGCTTTCCTCAGCTTGGTGGATTTTCCCAATCCAGTACCAATGTTGTTGATTCATCGGCACTTTGGCCAACTGCCATGTTACAGTTTATCTTTTTTTTTTTGCTCATATGGCCCAGCACAAAATTAATTTTTAGTTCCCTTTTAGAGAAAGTCCGCAAATTAAGGCTATTATTTTTGGATCTGTCTGTGAATGCACGTGTTTGTGGGTTGTGCATTTCTTTCAATCCTGGTGCAAAGACAATACATGATCTTGTATGTATACATATCAATTTTGTTTTTGATCAATTGTGGCAGACTGGTGACTAGGACGCAGAATAGAGCTAAATCCTAATACTTGTACATGTCTGAAACCAGTTCTTAAAAGATGACTGGGCTAATTTCAATAAAACTTAACTTGTTGATTTGCAAGTGCGCGTTGTTTTCAAGATCTGATTCAAGATGGCAGCTATCTTTTCTCTAGCTTGTAATAACCAATTATGTTGGTACACAGACACTATTTTATAAAATGCATATATGTATTGTTTTGTGATCTGATTCAATTTGCCTGCCTGGAGTCCAATTTGATAGTAAAATTCATAAAATCTTAATGCTTCTGTTCCAATATTTTCCCCAAAATGTATGCCCATTCATGTGCCCTCAATGAATTTTACTATCTAAGGATTTGTACATGTAACATCATTTCTTAGGTTATGTTAAGTTTGTACATAGACAAAACATTAAGGTTGGTTTCGTTTCTAAATAATCCAATTCGTATTACCAGGTATTATTAGTCCCCGTTCGGACGAAGTCCGAAAACGGAGACTTATAATTCGGTCTCCGTCCGTCCGTGTGTTCGTGCGTCCGTCCGGAGTCATATCTCAGAATCCCTTGGACCGATTCTGTTCATTCTTTGCATGTGCCTCGTACTTTATGTGGGACATATGCACATGCAGTT